ACTTCCTTTCCTTGTTCCTTCCACTTCCCCTAACTCCCTACTCATTCCTGCCCACAGTACGTTGCTTCCAGTCAGGCCCTCTGCAATGCTCATTCCAGAGTTACTTCAGGGCATGGAACTTGTCTTTCCCTGATCTTTGGCTCGTAGCTTTACTCGGGAATTATATCAATGGATGATCGGTTCCATTCTCACAAGGAGCTCTGTGGTTATGCCTCGACTTGGTCGGCCTACAAGCTAAGTGCTCCCTCTGTTACATGACCTCGCGGCATGTGGAACGCTGCTTTGTCCTTCTATATAAGCTCTTGGATGTGTCACGAATGTCATCTTGGTCCGTGCATAGCCCCTGAGGATGATTGGTTTCATCGGTGCCAGTCGAAACATGTCGGGCATCGCCAATACTCGCCTCTCATAGGGCTGTCCAGTTGTCTCCGGATGCGTTCTGCGTCCATTGTGTCTGTTCTGCTTTGTGAGAGTGTTATGTTGCGCGTCATGTTATTATTTTAAGTTTCCCACCGCTCGGGCTCCAAGATTATTCGTTGCGTGTCATCTTCGCTGTTACGGACTTCGCCAGGGCTCGATCCCTGGTCTATCATTCGCTGTTTCGGCTGCATCCCGTTTTCGGCCTGGCACCCTTTTTCCAAACCCCTCCTTTGGTACCGTAGGCTTTTGGACAACTGGCGCCATGCTGCAATTCGGGTGCCACTTTCAAATACTGCATTTTTCAGTTCTGCCCTCGGGGCCTTTGCAGAAATGCCCCTGGTACCGTACGTGTAATCGGTACTTATACCGGCTCCCCGTACGGTACGGGGACCAGTCTCGTACCAGTTCTCGGCTGCTGTACTCGTACTCAGTGTGACTTGCCACTGTGTCTGCGTCCGATCCTCAGTCCGAGTCCGTCGTGTCAAGTGAGTGAGTGTGTGTGTGTGTGCTCTCACTCTCTCCCTCTCTCTCCTCTCCCTCGGCTCACCCTCAGCCTCACGCTCGTTACACTGGTATCGGAGCGGTTCGAATCCGCCCGACCCACCCTCCTTCGATGTCGTCAACGGCCATCATCAACATCATCGTCGAGATCGTCGTTGYCGTGCCACGTCATCATCGTCATCATCACGATCGTCGTCATTGTGCCCCGTCATCATCGTCACCGACGGGATCGCCGCCGTTGCGCCACGTCATCATCACCATGCCTCTCGTCCTCGTCGCTGCGCCGCGCCGTCCTTGTCAT